GGGGGGGGGGGGGGGCGGGGCATCACCCACGGCAGACACGGCTCCCTGAATGCTGCTCAGACCCGGTTCCCTACATGGGCTCTCAGCCGGAAGGGGCCCCTGCGGTGAGAATCACAATCACAGTCTTAATTGAAAATTTGCATGTATCCCACAATAAGGGAAACTGGAGACCCAAACTCATCACGTGGCCTTTGCCTAGGGTTAGGCAAGCTGCAAAATTTAAAGTAATCAAATGCAGGGGGTCCACACACACCCTCCACAGGACCACCTTCACTTCTGACATCAACTGTCCATTCAGGGGGTTCCCCCAACCACCCTCAGAGTCAACAGTTGGCTCAAAGGATTCACAGAATTCAAGATGCTCTTCTATTCGTGGTTGTGGCTTGTTGTGAAGGGAGAGGATACAGACTGAAATTAAGCAAAGGAGGGATGCATCAGACGGAGTCTGGGAGGCTTCCAGACCAGCCCCATCATTCTTTCCGTTGGAAATCTGTTGTGTGCACTGTCTGTATGTTGGAATATTCTTCTCTGTGCTTTCACATTTATCTCGAAACTCTCTTTCCCCCTTACTTTTGATACAAATGTGGTCAATGAAAGCATTTAGTCAATACTTCCTGGCCACTTTCTCACAGCGAGCACTTCACACAGGTAAACCGATTGATTTCAGCTCCATAACACCCCACCACTGTGATGTGATAGTGGCCGACAGTGGCCCCCAGAGCCATGTCCTTACCTAATCCCAATAACCTGTGAATGTGACCTTCCTTGGAAATGGGGTCTTTACAAATGTAATCAAATTAAGGATCTAGAGAGATGGGGAGATCACCCTAGACCGTCTGGGTGGGCCCTGTACTGGGTTGAATGGTGGTGGTTTTTCCAAAAGACACGATATCTGGAACCTATACGTGTGAGTTTGTTTGGAAAGGCTCTTTGCAGGTGTAACTGAGTGAGTGATCTTGGAATGTGCTCATCGTGGATTAGCCAGGAAGACCCTCAATGCCAGAGCACGTGTCCCGGTAAGAAGACGACAAGATGCGGAGAAGTGGCCAAGTCCATGTGGAGTGTAGGCAGAGACTGGAGTGACCCACAGCCAGGGAATGACAGGAGCCACCAGAAACCGGAAAAGGCAAGGAAACCTCTCATGGTTTCTAGCTTCCTGTCAGCAGGACTGGTTTCTTCCGAGACCTGGGTCTTCACATGGTCTTCCTATCATGTTGGATTAGGGCTCATCCACCTGACCTCATGGTACCTTAATTACTCCTTTAAAGCCCCTGTCTCCAAATACAGACACACTGTCGGGTCTGGGGGGTCAGGACTTCAGCAGGAATTGGAGAGAACACAAGTCAGCCCATCACCGTGTTTAAGTTTGCAATTATTTAGACCTTTCGGGAGACCTCACGTGCTCTTGAAAGCAATGGCTTTTCTCTACACTTTGTACTTTTTCTTCTTTCCGTTAACTGGAAAATAACAGTCTGCTGTAATGAGTCACTCAGAGCCAAAGTACACCAAATCCCTCACCACTATTTTTGTTTTTTTGCAAATGATTAAATATTACTTTCTTTCAGTTTATAGCATAATCCAAGCGACAGCCGATCCATCAGCGTATCTGCTGATGGTTAACTACAGCATTTTGCATTCATTATTCCCTACTTATGTCATTCTTTTAAAAAGAGGAATAACTTAATTCTGTCTCTTGACAGCAGGGAAATTAAATGGTGAGCCATAAAGATGAGTGTTTCTCTGGAAAACGAAACACCAACTGCAGATCTATAAAACCCAGCCAGAAGTATGTCACCTCAAAATGAGATAAATAAAGACAAGCTTCTGGAAAAGCCTTTCAAATCAGAAAGTAAAGAAACTTTCAGACCTCAAACACAACTTGCCAACTGGTGCAGCCAATTTAGGGAGCAGTTTGGCAGCCTAGAATGTGGAAGATACATATACCCAGGCACGCAGGGATTCCCCAGCTACGTATAGACCCCGCACATTTTTTACCGTAACCCACACTTTTAATATATTGTGCATGGTAAGTCAGTCAGAAGGACAGATACCTTATGTGTTCACTCATAGGTGGGATTTGAGAAACATAACAGATCACAGGGGAAGGGAAGTAAAAATAAGCTTCAAATAGAGAGGGAGGCAAACCATAAGAGACTCAAATACAGAGAAAAAAATTGGGACTGGCTGGACGGGATGTAGTGGGGGGATGGGCTAAATGGATGATGGGCATTGAGGATGAGCACTGCGAGTTGTATGGAAGGGGTGAATTATGGGAATCTATTCCCAAAGCCAAGACTGCACTGTATATATTGCATGTTAGTTAATTCGACAATAAATTATTTAAAAATGTTTTGCATGGCATCTCAGAACACATACGTATGCATGGACAGGCATATGTACACACACACATCTTTGCATGATGGCTGATGGACAATGTTGGGGAGAAAGAATTTCCTCTGCCTTCCAAGGTCCTTCTAGATGGGCTAAGAATCAAATGGAGAGGAGACAGATTGACAGGAGAAAATCATATTTCGTTTCATTTCTACGAGAAGCCAAAGATGGGAAACTCCAAAGAGACAACGTGAGGCTCATAAAAGCGAAGGAGAGCAGTCGGGTCTGAGGACACAAAGGGAAGGAAGACCTTCATCAGGAAGATAAAAGAGGTATTTGGAAAACAAAGCTCGCCTTCCTATGCAGATCAGTTTCTTGTAAAGAGCAATCTGTTAACAGCCCTCTTCCGGCTGCTAAACGGGAGGTGCTTGAACTCTTCCCTCAACCTGCTAAGTTTGGATTGGTTTTAACTGAAAATAACTTTTACGCTGAGGTGGCCCATCTGGGGGCGGCCTACAGCATTAGTTCACAGTGTGGTCTCGGGCCTGCAGGGCACCAGAGACCGGCCTGCAGGGCACCCCAGCGGGGAGACGCTGAGGCCGCGCGTCGGTGACACCAAGCTGAGCGCACAGACAGGTAACGGGCGCCGGGGCAGCGGAGGTCTTCGGAAGACACGCGCCCCAGCGCAGGGCTCGGCCCCCGCACTGTCGTGGGCACTGGCGGAGGGCGAGGCAGCTGGTGGAGGCGCCGGCGCCGACTCCGCCGCTGGCTGTGTGAGCACGAGCAAGGGACGTGCCACAAGGAAGCCCGCAGGCCAAGGACGGGACCCCTCGGGGGGCGGCGGTTCTCCCCGCCTGCTCTCCCTCCCGCACGGCCGCCGGGGCCCCGCAACATGCGCCCCCCGCGCGCTCTCCTCCGGGCGCTCCCGGCGCTCCACACCCCACCTGGAGGCGCGTCGGGGCCGGGGCGGCGCGGCCCGGCCTCCGGGGACCGCAGGGGCCCAGGGGAGGGGGGCAGTTCTGGAAAGAAACTGGGGGGCTGGAAGGGAGCGCTGGGTGTGGTCCAGAGGCCGTCGGGGCCGGGGCGCAGGTGGGGTGGGCCTGCGCTGGGGGCGGGGTCAAGGGAGGCGCTAAGGTGAGCCGGGTGGGCGGGGCTAGGGGAGGAGCTTAAAGTGAACCTGAGGCGGGAACGGAGCTCAGGTGGGATGGGTTGGCCTAGGTTAGGGGCGGGGCCCCGGGAGCGGAATAGGGTGGGCGGGGCCGTGGGCGGGGCCCGGGAGCGGAACGGGGTGGGCGGGGCCGTGGGCGGGGCCCCGGGAGGGGAACGGGGGCGGGGCCGTGGGCGGGGCCCCGGAGCGGAACGGGGTGGGCGGGGCCGTGGGCGGGCCCGGGGCCGGGGCGGGGCGCAGACTCAGGGGACGCAGAGCGCCTCAGGGCTGAGGTAGGGCAGGAGCGGGCGGCTGTCGCGCAGGCGCTCGGGAGGTGGCCGCCCCCCCCCCCCCCCCCCC